GCCCTCAGTGGTTAGAAGCCACCTGATCAGCGTAGCAGTCACCTCGGACTTCTTCGCAAGAGGGAACACTGTGGTGTACCTGGAGTAGTCGTCGACGACCACCAGAAAGTAACGCTCTCTCCCAGACCCCTGCGTCGGGGCAGGGCCCCAGACGTCCAAGTGGAGAGTCTCGAAGGGAGCGGTGGCCGGACGAAGGGAGGAGGAGTGGGGAGTGGCGCGTAAGCGACCGGCGACGCACGAAGAGCAAGGAGGGGCAAGCGAGGGAGGGAGCGACGGGAAGGTGCGTGGGAGACCTGTGACAAGTCCCTGACTGAGCATGCCACGAAGGCGAGGGATCGACGGGTGGCCAAGGCGGTGGTGCCACAGGACGGTGCGGTGGGCGAGAGAGCGACAGGAGCAAGACGCAGCGACTGGACTGGACACAGCGACCACCTGGCTGGACACAGCAACTGGACTGGGGACCTGGGCCGGAGGGGACGCAATGACCTGAGGGGAGGACGCGACCGGGGAGCGCTCGGTGTGGAGAACGTAGCCGGAGCGGGGCTCCCTGGTGAAAGTGGCCAGAACAGCACCTGTGGTAGCGTCAGTACAGACTGCAGTCCGCCCACCCCCCACGAAGGTAACCGTGATCCCCCTGTCCTGGAGGTATCCAACACCCACCAAGTTCCGAGTGAACGAGGGGATGTGGAGGCCGCGCAGGACACCAGAGGGGACCACAGGGCACGGGAGGGTGGTGGAGCTACGCGCAACGGCTGGTCCAGAGGTAGGATCAGCCAGAGCCACCGACACAGGGGTGAGGAGTGGCGTAAGGGTCGTGTGGTCACGGAAGAAGCACTGAGACGCGCCCGAGTCCATCGTGAACGACAGAGAGGCCTCAGCCGGAGGGTCACCTGACCCAGTCGCTACACAAGCACCTAGAGCAGCAACACAAGCACCTAAGCTAGACAGGCACAAGGCTACACTAGCAGGAGGCAAGCAGGCTAACCTACGAACACGCGAGCACACAGACCCATCAGCACTTAAGTCAGCATCAACATACAAAGCATGCTGACGCGCATCGTCCATGGACAGATCAAAAACATCAATCTTACGGGCTAACAGACGAGACCAGCGAGGCGTGACCGCCAGAGGGCCCCAACGAGCCCGGTAGAGGTCGTCGAGGCGGCGGAAGCACCGCGCGGCAGAGTGGTCGTCGCGACCACAGAGACAGGGGCTGCCCGGCCCGGTGAGGCACCAGTGGGTGCAGGGGCCAGCGTCACGGCGAGGGGGGCGAGGGGCCCAGCTGGAAGAGCTGCTGCTGCGGCCGGTGCTCCCAGGGCCTCCCGGACCCCACTGCGGCGGGGGACCCCAGTGCTGCTGCGGGCCCCACTGCAGCGGGGGCCCCCACTGCTGGAACTGCTGCGGTGCCTGCTGCTGCTGCTGCTGTCCCTGCTGCTGCTGCTGCTGCTGCTGTCCCTGCTGTGGCTGGTGCTGCTGTGGCTGCTGCTGTTGGGGGGCAACGCCCCCACCGGTCGGGCCACCACCTGTGGGTGGGCCTGTCTGTCATGCACCTCCTCCAAGGCCCCCTCCCCCTGGCGCACCACCGCCGCCGCCGCCGCCGCCTCCGCCACCACCGCCGCTCCCACCTCCACCGCCACCTCCACCGCCACCTCCACCGCCCCCACCTCCCCCCTTCCCGCCCTTCTTGCCACTCTTGCCCCGTTTCTGCCAGTCTGCGGCAGAAACGGCAGCGGTGTCCTCAGAGACCGACACAGCAGCAGAAGCGCGGGTAGAGGTGAAAGTGGGAAGCTGAGGGGCGGCACACCCCGCAAAGAGACGGGGGGCCACCGCATCAGTGGCGGAGGCAACGGTGAGGAGGCTGCTCTCGATGGTCCCGAGAGCAGTCTGAAGGAGGTCTATAGTGAGCTCAGTGGGGTGCTTCTGAAGAAGCGCGTTGCGGGCAGTGGCAAGGCGGTCAGGGAGGCGGGTGACTAACCAGTGCACAGTGAGCCACATGGGGGGGGGAGCAACAAGGAGCTGTGCGTCGGTACAGGCAGCACGGAAACCGGCGTCAAGCGAACGGAGGTGAGTCACTAGGTCGGAAACAGTCGCAAACGAGCCTAAGTCGGGAAACACAAACGGCATGAGGAGGCGACTGAGGGAGGCAGAGGAGGGGGTGGAGTAGCGGGCAACAATAGCATCCCACACCCCCTGGGCTGTCTCCACCTGGTCAAAGTGGGCGGCCTCAGTCGGGGGGAGAAGCTCCGACAGTGTGAGAGCGGCGGCAGCGTCACGCGAGAGCCACACGTCCCTGGCCAGGACCCGACGGTCGTACTCCGCCTGGGCCGTAGGGGTCGGCTCCGGGGTGGTCGGCAGGGCGGCGGGGGACGGGGGGGCCTGTAGGGCACCAGACGCGTGAGCCCACAGAGTGGTGCCGTCCTGTCGCTGGCTGGTGAGGAAACGTGTGGTCTGGCGCTGCCAGGTACCGAACTCGATCGGGCGTCCCTCAGCATCGAAACGGAGGCGACGGGCCTCCATAGCGGAGCCCATGCTAGTGGTGACTGGAGCACGGTGGAGGCGGAGCTAAGAACGAGGAGGAAAACTACGGAGGGCTAGGGACGCCAGCGGGGAAACCGACGAGAGACAGTCGGCGAGAAAATAGTCGTGGGGCGGGGCTCTAACCGAACCTAGGTGGCGCTACCGGAGGGAAGAGCGGTTGCCAGACGCTGAGCCGGGAGTCAAGTGCAGTAGGAATGGCGTGGGACCGGGGCACAGGTGAAGGGGAGAGAGATGCAGTAAGCGCACAAAGGGATGCGGTAAGTGCACGCAGGTGTGCGGTAAGTGCACGCAGGTGGGCGGTAAGGGCACGCAGGTGTGCGGTAAGTGCACGCACGCAGGTGTGCGGTGAGCGCACGCAGGTGTGCGATAAGTGCACGCAGGTGTGCTGGAAGTGCACGGACGCAGGTGTGCGGTGAGCGCACGCAGGTGTGCGGTAAGTGCACGCAGGTGTGCGGGAAGATTTACGGAGGAGGGCGCGCGACAGGCGGAGGGAAGGGCACGCGACGGTCTAAGGAGGGCGCGCGACGGTCTAAGGAGGGCGCGCGACGGTCTAAGGAGGGCGCGCGACGGTCTAAGGAGGGCGCGCGACGGTCTAAGGAGGGCGCGCGACGGTCTAAGGAGGGCGCGCGATGGTCGAAGGAGGGCGCGCGACGGTTTAGGAGGGCGCGTAACGGTGGGAGAGGGCGCGCGGTGGTCTAAGGAGGGCGCGCGACGGGCTTGATTGCGCGGGAGGGCGCGGGCTAGGCGCGCGGAGGGCGCGGAGGGCGCGAGACCACGGAGGGCGCGTAGGGCGCGGAGGCTAGCTAAGACCGAACGAGGATCTAACCTACTCGTGATACCATCTGAGAATAGGAATGCAACGGAATGATGAAACTAGGAAGTGTGGAAGTACAAATATGCAACCCTAACAACTGTACTCCCTATTGTGCTACTCACTGCAGCCTACAAGCATAGAATTACATTTGACAGAAAGTTATGTAGTCTGATTGCTCAGGGTTGAGAAGTCAGGATCAGGGTTAGTAACGCGCTGTGCATTATCGAAACTTGGCATGGTTCGGATATTTAGAAGATCTTGTGTGGATTTGATGACCAATCAAATTGGACGACCGTTCGTTCTTCAGATTTCTGGTTGCACACTGTATGTGACTGGTGATTTAGACCCGAGTTGACTGGTCACATCACAACACCAGCGTCATACTGTAGCAAATTCGCGTTGACAAAGTGCATTCGCGCCGTACAGTACAGAGCAACAGATTCGCCCGATCACAGAGAAATGGCCCTGGCACAACAGCCGCTGTCAGAGCACAACCATTTCGACCAATCACAGCAACATATATCTGGCATTGCAGATTCGGCCGATCTCGATGGTGGGTGGGTGTATCTAGACGAAATTTCTGAGAAGTTTCGTTTCGATAAAGTGGGGGAAGGGGGATTCCGCACCTGGGGGGTGCTGCGATGCGATCAATCCGAAGGCGAGGTTATCGAGAAGAAATTTCGGAGAAACCTCCTCTCGATAATGTCTCATTCGCGGGGTCCACAGAACTCGTACTCTGTAATGACAGAGTCCGTAAGAAGACTACTCTGAACGTGTATACAAAATTTCAGGGCCTGCTAAAGCGTTAGTCTGAATGGATCAGTGTTCACAAGGCGTAAATTTAGAAAGCTTGCTTTCTTGTGTTTGCAATGGCAACGAGCTTCGTTTCAAATGGGCATTACATCATTCTCGTCCGGGATATATATGGTACCTACATTACACATGACAACATGCAATTTTTGCTAGGGTGGGTGGGTGGGAAATAAGACATTTGAAATTTCAAACGAAGACGTGGGTGGAGGCCAAATGGCCTCCACCCCCTGCTATATAGTTGGCGAAGAGCGTCTAGCACTTCGCCGTTGCCATTGCTGCATTACAAGCAGCTTCGCTTTCAAAATACACATTTTTAGAAAGTGTTACACACTTTCAAAAAAAATAATATTCTGAAATTGCAGGGACCACAAGGTGAGAAGTCTGAAATCACCCTGAAATCAGGGTAATTACCCTGATAAAATCAGCCCTGGTTACCATACAAGTAGGTTACTTGTTACGAAGTACTCAAAGCTGCTGGTTACAACAGCGTCTACAGCTTGCAAATACCAGTCATAAAGGATGTGACTGGTAAGTGTACAACCAGACTGTGTAATGCAAATATGGTTCGGCATTTGTATCGATCAACCAGATACTCGTCATGTCATACACCCTTGCAACAAGCAAACACTAGTCAACCGGCGTCTACCTGAGCGGGTCAACAACTTGCTTTGACAAACCGATCTGGTTTGTGTTTCCTAGTAACTACATTCCTAATTGCTTCCAAGCATCTGGAAGCTTCAGCGCCACAGCAGTCCCAGCAGCAGAGCAGCAAGGGCGGGCCACAGCCCAGACTCCACTGCTCTAGTCAGATGTCATCCTAGTACGGTACTTACTACTACTTGGCGTGAGGGCCAGCATTGGCCTTCACAAACGCAGTGAAGTTGCCATCCAAAAGCATGAGATCCAAGCCATACGGGGGAACAAACACCTGCACGCCCCCCTCCACCGCCACATACACCGGGCCCCAAGTGACAGACACCGGAGCCACCGCTCCCCCCCCATCCGTCCACTGCAGCAGCGTGTTATTCACGGCTGCCACCAGCCCAGGAACCGGCGCCGTGGTATTCGCCACCACTTGTCGCGACGCCGCACCCGCCTGAAACTGGTTCTGCTCTAGAAGCACCTGCGCCACCACACGTGCTTCCATGGCATCTCCCGTCCACCCCGTGTAGAGATTATTCGCCACGTGGCACAGCCCCAGCCGGCACATGGGCTGCCGCGCGGGCGCCGCGGACCTGTCAAACCAGTTACGGTACACCGTAACGTTCATGCCGGCGTTGATATTGTCGGAGTCAGACTGGCCGAGGTGCAGCGCAAAGCCTTGCTGGTTGGAGGCGAAGTGGCAGTTGGAGATGGTGACGCCTGTGCTGTTGCGCGCGAGCTCTATGGCGCCGGAGAGGGTGGAGGTGTTGGAGAAGCGGCAGTGGTCCACCCACACGCCCGTACTGTTGTACAGCGCTATGTGCGCTGGGGCGCGCACGCTGCCGGATACTGCGCACATGGGGTGTAGAGAGGCGGGAGAGGAAGGGGGGTTAGGAGCGACGCATGACCAATATGGAATCAACCTGCAGAGGTTGGTCATGGAAGCAACGGTTCTAACTTTTCTCGGTTTTAGTTGCTGCTGTGAATAATAACCATGGAAATCAGAAAAAGGGAAGAATGTGAAGGGGAGGGGGAGCAAATGGTCACGGAGGCATGGAAAAGGCAGAGAAATGAAGTGGATGAGGGGACGAGGACGGCAGCGCGTGGGCTTACTCTCGATGTTGTGGATGATGACGCCGCGCGAGTGCTGCACCAGCAGGCTGTCCCCCACCAGCTTCACGCTCCTGCCGCGCGCGTCGATGGTCGTCTGCGACTTCACGTACAGCGGCGCCGCCAGCTGGATCGTCATGTCGCGCGCGAAGCGGAACACCGCGCCCGTGCGCGCGTAGTTCGAGATGCCCCACCGCAGGGAGCCCTGTCGCGACGACGCTGCGAAGTCCTCGTCCAGGGTAACCACGTACACCGGTCGCTCACCGCTGCTCCCGTCGGTCGTGTTGCCAGCGCTGCCATTCCCGCTTGCCAACGCCGCGGCCGCAAACCCAACGGCGCATGCCGCCAGCCCATCCGCCCCGCTCGCGTTCTGAGCGTACTGGCAGTCGGGGGATTCGGGCGGCGGGGGAGGCGGCGGTGGGGGAGGGGGAGGCGAAGCCACAGTGCCGTTCCCCGCGGTACTGTTGCCGGCGGTGCCGTTGCCGGCGGTGGCGTTGCCCGCGGTGGCGTTGCCAGCAGTGCCGTTGCCGGCTGTGCCATTACCGGCAGAGGAGTCGGGAGAAGGAGGGGGCGAGGGCGCGGGGGGGAGGAAGGCCGGGTTGGGCGGATCGAGCTCTAGGAGCGCGTCGTATTTCGGGCCCGCGTTGAACTGCACCCACGTCTCCAGCATGCGCGTGCTCTTCGGAAACGTCAGCGTGTACGGCGGCGTGAATACCGGCGTCGGGCCGCGATATGCCGTGTCCGAGAACGTCGCGTTGCCTGCTAGGAAGTCGTCGATCGAGACGATCGTGACCGTCGGATCGTAGCTGCCGTCCGTCGGGGGCATGCCTTTCCAGTACGGCGTGACTTCCTTTCGCCTGCCCGCCGGGTCAGGCCGGAAGAAATTCTTCTCAGACCGGATCACGGCGCCTTTGCGTGCCGCGATCGCGTAGTACCCCCAGCTGGAGTACACGTTATTCGCCACGTGGCACCACCCCTTGCGGCACAGCGGCTGCATGGCGCCCGACGCGTTGAACCAGTTCCGATACAGCGTGACGCGCATCGCCGTATCGGCGTTCTCCACGTCGGACAGTCCCAGCTGCATCGTCTGCCCGTAGCTGCTGACGTAGTTGTTGGAGACGGTGACGTCAGTGCTGCCCTTGCCCACGTCGACGGTGCCCGTGAGCCCGCCGAAGAGGCGGCAGTGGTCCACCCACACGCGCGAGCTGTTGTAGATCGGGATCAGATCGCCGCGCGGCTGCCCCGACACTGGGGAGGAGCGAACGGGGGGGAGGACGGGAGAGAGTGATAGAGTAAGAAGACCGGACGGGAGGCTTCACGTGTGATCGATAACCAAGGAACTAGTTCTAGGACTGGGAATAATAGTAGTGCTAGTGCTATTGCTAGTAAGATTGCCAGTGGCAGCACGGCGCTGGAAGGATCCAGGGGGAGCGACGGGAGCAAGAGCGGCGTACCTTCGATGTTGTGCACGATGACGTCATTGACGTTCTGCATCACAATGCTGCCGTTGGTGATGCGCACGTGGAAGCCTTGCCCGTCGATCGTCGTGCGCGGCCGCAGGAACAGGTTCCCCTGCAGCACGATCTCCATGCTGCGCGCGAAGCGAATGTACGCGCCGTCGCGCAGGTACGTCACCGCCCAGCGCAGCGACCCCACCGACATCTGCGAGCCGTCCAGCGAGTCGAACTCGTTCTCCACGATGTACCGCGTCACCTCCAGCGCCTGACCGCCTTTCACGCCCGCCGTCTGCGCGAACCCCATGGCGCACGACGCGAGCTCCTTCGCGGCTTGGTACTGGCAGTCGGCTGATCCCACCGCGTTGCTCGGCCCCGTCGGGGCCGTCTCGTTCGCGTCGCGCCGCTTCGTCGGGCGCGGTTTTGGCGGGGGCGTGGGCTTGGGGGAAGGTGGGGGGGGGCTTACGGGAGGGGAGGTGGGTGAGGCGGGAGGTTTCTGACCGGAAGCGCTGGTGTTCTTGGGTGGGGACGGCGTCGAAGGCGGGGACTTACGGATGTTAGGGCTGCCCTGAGAGGGCTTCGGTGTGGCGGGAGGGTTTTTCTCGGGGGGAGTGCCACCGCCCTTCGGCGAAGGCGAAGGGGTCTTCGTCGACGGAGTTTTCCCGCTCGGAACGGGCGACTTTCCCCCAGGAGCTGGCGCGGGGGTCTTGGGGGAGGGGGCGGGTTTCTTTGGTGATGGCGAGGTGTGCTTGGGATTTGCGGGGGTGGGCTTTTTAGAGGATTCGGGCGGCATGACGCCTGTGCTGACGCTGCCTTTGGGCGCTTTGCTCTTCTTCGCAGACGGCGAAGAGGTGGCTGACGTGGTTACAGTGGGAGTGGGCGATGGCATATCCGGCAGTCTACTCGGCAATGTCGAGGTCTCCTTCGTCGCGAGCATTCTGCCGGCGGTGGCTGTTGGCTCAGCAGAGGGTGTTTCGACCAATCGCCGAGCGGTAAACTTGCGTGGGGTGGTACTCCACGGCCACCAGAAGTGCGCGGTTTGACTGATGTCCGCGTCGCATGGGGCGTCTGGTAAATTGCCCGCTTCTTGCGCGCTCACGGCGAGATAAGGAAGGGCGAGCAGGTGGACAAGAAGGAACGCTAAGAGGAGGACTCGTGCGCGGCAGACGGTGACGACTCTTTGCGCCATTGCGACGGCGCTATCGGTAAGGAGCGATGTTTTATTTTCGGACCGTTTTCAAGATGTACGAGTTATCGCGAGTGGCAACACTAGTTTACTACTGGAACGTTCTGGTCTGGTGCTATGAATGGTTAAGGTGAGCAGGCACTAATAAGCTTCCATCTAGACCATTACTGTGAACGAGCTGGAGTGGAAAGATGTCGGCTCACTGCTTTCCTAATTTTGCCGTCACCTCGCTTGCACTACAACCATACTCCAAAAAGAGCAAGTTTGGCACAGCCTGAGCACGCTCAAATCCTTTCGCGGGCTTCTTTCTATAGACTGTGGCGGACACGGGTTGCTCAGCCGTCAGCTGTTCGCTTCGTTTTCGTCTGGTCCCACTCCATGCCCATTCATCATGACGAGCGTTTTACCCCCGTGGCAATGAGAGATGGTGGTATGAGCATGAAAATCCATCCTTCCGTGGCCCCTTGCATAGGCCGCTGAACTCGAGCCGAGGCGCATGTCATCTCTGCCGAGTCGCGACCGTCGTTGCAAATTTGAATTTCTGGCCCCTGGTCGGTTGTGGTGGGAAACTGTAGGCCAACCCCTTCCCCTGACGCGCATTGAGCAAGACGCATTTCGGGCAAACTTGCGCGACGCGCCGGCGCGCGAACTTTTCTCAATCCCATCGACCAAACTCGCACCGCAGGTAGGGCGACCGAACCTCGTCCAAATAGATCGATCTACATGCGCTTTCTCGATATTTTCATGCTGCAAACGTGTTATTTTTGGCGTTACAGGTGCAATTTTGTTTTACAGCCAGAATCGCGGGATTACAGCTAGGGGTTTCGAATCCTTTCATGAAAGACAAATTTTGCGACGAGTTAATCATTTCAGTCTGGTCGTGCAGATAAGGCTTGTCTTATGTTCTATTTGTTTGGCTGGGTATTTTGTACGGTGTAAAACGAACTAAACCCCGTAGGGAGCCTGGCACACTTTTAATGCATCAACCCTAAACATCTTGACATTTATGGGGGTTTAGGGTTGATCCCCCCCAGATTGCACCACATTCAAGGCATTAACCCTATACACTATGCTTCCCGTGTTTAGGGTTGATGCCTCCCGAATTGCTTTCCTGCCTTTAGGGGTTTATTTTTTTTTCAGCCCCTGCTATTTTCTGAGCTCCGTAGATGTTTGACACGCGGCGAAAAAAACTAAGCATGTAGACAACAAAACGTGACACGCGCACGAAACATTTTGGGAAATTATACGCGCTGTCACAATTATGGCCGTATTATCACGTTTGGTCATGGGGTTATCACGGACAGTCACAGTACAGTACTTCGCTATCACGCATGATCACAACGCTATCACGCTTGATCACTCCTCGCCCCGCAGGGTTATCACGTTTGGTCACTCGTTGAAACGCCCGCCAAAAAGTCGAAACTCTCAAATCTACTGTACAGATTCGGGTACTTTTATCTCGCGCGCATTTTGTCTGTAGTGAAAAACGTGATGTGATTGTCGAAATATACTCGGTCCTTGTTAGGGACCGATGCAGTTTAATGCAGAGTCCGCATTTTGCAGTGAATATACGCGATCAATAGCAGTTTCAATTATATAATCACTATTCTCTTTGTAATTGATACCTTGACATTATGTTTTGCACACGCAGTAATAAATATCCCAATTACACAATGTCATTTGCATATCAACCACCAGTCAATCTTGGATTTGAGTAGGCATACGATATGGTGAATTAAACAAGCTACAGGGAGGGAGGTATCAGAGGTAATTCTCCCTCTAGCGAGCGCTTGCCTGCAAGCTAACGTAAAGGGCAAGAGTTTACAGAGGCAACAATCAAATGATATAATGTAAACTCTTGCCCTTTACGTTAGCTTGCAGGCAAGCGCTTGCTAGAGGGAGAATTACCTCTGATACCTCCCTCCCTGTAGCTTGTTTAATTCACCATATCGTATGCCTACTCAAATCCAAGATTGACTGGTGGTTGATATGCAAATGACATTGTGTAATTGGGTTATTTATTACTGCGTGTGCAAAACATAATGTCAAGGTATCAATTACAAAGAGAAGAGTGATTATATAATCGAAACTGTTATTGATCGCGTATATTCACTGCAAAATGCGGACTCTGCATTAAACTGCATCGGTCCCTAACAAGGACCGAGTATATTTCGACAGTCACATCACGTTTTTCACTACAGACAAAACGCGCGCGAGATAAAAGTACCCGAATCTGTACAGTAGATTTGAGAGTTTCGACTTTTTGGCGGGCGTTTCAACGAGTGACCAAACGTGATAACCCTGCGGGGCGAGGAGTGATCAAGCGTGATAGCGCTGTGATCATGCGTGATAGCGAAGTACTGTACTGTGACTGTCCGTGATAACCCCGTGACCAAACGTGATAATACGGCCATAATTGTGACTGCGCGTATAATTTCCCAAACATTTTTGCGCCATCAGAAACAGACAAAACAACCGAAACTTGTAAGGTCACGGCAATGTAGCTACAATTGCGACCTTGTTTTTACCAAAAACACGAAAACCACCTGGCAAACATTATCCCACGCGAAACAGTGACAATTTGGAAGACCACCAATTCTTACACATTGAATTTGCTATCAGTATCGCGTAAGCGTGTGTAGGTCGATTCATTTGCGAGGGGTTTGGTCGCCCTACCTGCGGTGCGAGTTTGGTCAATGGGATTGAGAAAAGTTCGCGCGCCGGCGCGTCGCGCAAATTTCGCCATCTCTGACGACCATGGCAGAGACAGAGGCGACCAGCAGTGAGTGAAAACCGACATCCGTAACTCCATATGAACACCACCGATAAGTGATATATCAGCAGTAACATAGATGGGACTTGTTTCACGAAGTTGCAAAACAAAGGCTGTGACTAAGACACCTCAATTGAAAACACCGCAGGGTTAAGATACAAAAAAGAGATTCTGAGAGATTTTCAGCGGTTAATCTGAGACTTGTTTACAAGTTGAAGTATTTTTTGATTTGCTGGGAATACATTGCTGTAGCTTGTATAGAATGTAGTGAAGCATAATGCTCGATGTTTGTAAAGAACCACCTGCTTACTGTACAAGCAGCCACTGGTTGTGGTCCAGCCAGGGCCCAAAATTGGTTTTGGGCCACTCTTGCAAATCAGGGTTTCAGGCCCCCAGTACCCTGACCCCAAGGGTAATACTTCCCGTACACTGATGGCAGCAGCCTAAAATGTCAGATACACTCTTTGTGTCAGGGTAAAATTGTTGATACACTGTTTGTAGTGTAAAAATGTTTATATCGTGCCATAAGTATAGACTGCACTGTTGTGGCAGCGCACTATGTCCCAGCTTGTTAGATATTTACCTTGGTGTCGAAAAATCGCAAGATCGAAACCTGACGGGGTTGATTGTATCCTCCGTACAGATGATTCGGTATCAGTGTAATGTGCAGCGCACCCTGAAACCGGCAGGGTAACCGAAATTGTTATCAGTGTACTCAAAACCTTACCCTTTTTCCACTAGGGTAAAAAATTCCATAGGCTGATTTGGCAAGGGTAGCTGGGAAAAAGCGGCCGCTCATCAGGGCAAACAGGGTATTTTACCCTGATAATTTGGGGCATGGGTCCAGCCCAACCGTGCGCTTCAAGAGCAAAGGAAAGAAATAAAGGGGTAGTTCTATTCTATGCGTGCGATCGCATTCCTCCCTCCCAGGTGGGAGAAGCTCAAATCAGTGCGATTTTCTCTGGATTATCTCGCTATGCAGGATTTCGGTACCCATTTCCTGTCCTCGAAATGGTAAGAGATTTACTGAGGAGACTCACGGAGGTAGAAACCTCGAATTTGGGGCGGTTGGAGTGGGTGGGGCTGGAGGTGCAGGCGCACAAGTGCCGGTTTCGGGAGCGCGAGGGCAAGGAGGTGGAGCGGGCACTGCCATTGGGGATGCAGCGGGTGGATGAGGGTCTTACTGTGGTGGGCGTGCCTATTGGAGAGGAGGTTTGGGAGGTGGTCCGGCTACGGGAGCGGCTTCGACAGTTGCAGGCGCCACTGCCATGGCTCCCCTTGCTCGACCACCCCCAGATGGCTTCACACCTCCTCGCCATTGCAGTTTCAGCGCGGCCGATGTACCTCGCCCGGACTATGCCGCCGCGTCCGGAGGTGGTTGAGGCTTTTAGGGATTGGGACAGCTGTTTAGAGGATTGCTTTGATCAGCTTTTCCCACCTGGCACTTGGGAGCAGGACCCCGACCGGTCTAGGCGCGCACGCATGCAGCTGCATCTCCCTGTGCGTCTCGGTGGGTTCGGGATCCGGGCGGCGGCCTCTTTGAGCCCACTGTCCTATGTTTGCGGGTGGGCGCAGGCCGCGCGGGACATTGCACAGTTAGGGGTGGCGGGTGAGGAGGCGATGTTTGCTGAGTACCTCACCACTTCGACAGGGGCAGAGTTTCTTGACCCGTGGTTTGTCAAGGCTCTCGAGCAGCTGCCAGCGACTATCCGCCACGAGATACCGGGCTTACCTCTGTGTGTAGCGGCCCCTCCTGTTCGGCTTTTCCAGGCGCGTCAGCGGCAGTTAGCTGTAGAGGAGCTCCAGGCACTGCGCCGCTTGGCTCGTGACGATGCTACCTTGGCCCGTTTCACATCCCTTCAGGGCCCGGGGGCAGGTGCATGGGTTTCGGCGGTTCCGGCTCACTCAGATCTCACATTCACTGCGGCTGAGTGGGGCATTGCTGCTGCTATACGGCTCGGCCTCCCAATTCAGCAGCTGCAGGTGGCGGGGAGGTGTGTTTGTGGCACAGCGTATGTTGACCCAGCAGACCCGCACCATGCCCTGAGATGCAGGCACCAGCATGGTCCTTCTCGGGTGCATGATGAGGTGAAGTTTGCGGTGGCGAAGATCTCTAAGGCGTCGGGGGGGGGGGTGGTGACATTGGAGGATAGTGTGGTGCTGCAAGGGAAGCGGGTTGATGTGGCGGTGCGACGTCCAATGGCTGGAGAGGCTCACGCCCTAGAGATCA